ATGATGTCCCTGGATTGAAATAAAAATGAGATCAAATTAATGTAAAACTATTCTTTGTATATTTTATCTGGAAATCTGCGTGATTACTAAAGATTTCCTTTTTTTTAGACAGATAGTATATCATTGATCTCGTGAGAGTGCAATGAAGTTGAATAAAATGACTTCCAGTAAATGTAATTATTTTTTGTATTCAGCTCCCCTACAGTCAACTGAAGAATAGTATTGTGTGGAATATCCTTTCTGGAAATAGAAATACTTGATGTAGAAAATCATGATGTTGTTGTCACATGTAATAGCTATTTTTTGCTGTTTTATATTGGTAAATGTATGATTATGTAAGCATGTAAACGTTGATTGGAAATCTTTTTCTTTTTTTTAAATCTATCTATAAAATAAAAAGATTTTCTGTATAAATGATGTTTTTTTTTTTTATTCAAGCAGTAACTATATTTAATTATTTTTAAGAATCAATAATATTACTCTGCACTTGTCTTGGATTACTCACAGAAAAAATGAATCTGCATGTTGAACCTTTTTCTGCGGGCAATGCACTGAAAGGTTTACACTATCTCATCAAATAATAAATTAAAAATAAGAAAAAATGTCCAAATGATAAGAATCATTAAACTTTGCTCTTTAGTCCTTATTAGTTCTCACTGTTGAAATCTGACATGATATATCCAACTAAACAATATTCTCGTTGAGTTTTGATCATTGTAGTTTTTCCATAATTGAAATTTTTCATTGCAGAATTCTTATCGAAATGTTTATTCTTTCTTTGTATCTGTTTATCTTTTCGTTATTTACAATTAATGTTTAATACCTTCACCGAATAATTAGCACGATAATTAACTCATTTCTAAGAGGCAATCAACATCAATAATCATTTTATTCAGAAATTTTGTAATATTAATGTTTAATATGAACAAACTCTTGATGATGTCAGGCATAGATCAATTATAGAAAAATACTGATGCCAAAAGAACCGGTATTCATTTTATCAAGAGCAAATTGTGATATAATTGATATTTTTTGTTTTTCCAACAGATTAGGCAATGCCTTTTTTTTATATGTTCTATCTAACAACATTGATGTCTCCAAAATGGTTGAAAATAATATAAAGGAGAAAAGTAACATTTCAATACTTTACCATACTTTATTGTACTTCAAGATTTGAGTATCAGTGAAGTACAATGAAGTATATGGGTGTTATTGCTAAACAAACTTATATCAAATGACCTCACAGTAGTACGCTCGTGACATGCATTGATAGTAGACTTGAAATAGATATGAGATTCAAGAAGATAACTTTGCCATACTTTTGGAGTATGATGAGTTACGAGATTTTCACTTTTTTTCCTTTGAAGTAGTATGGCTAGATATCTGGAATTGAGGATCAATCTATCTCCGATACAAAACTTTCAGATTTCTTCTTAAATCTTTTCTAAAAGTTCACGACTAAAAAGATTTTGAAAGAACTCTTAATAATTACATCTAATTGTTCTGCCTTATAGAATTTGAGAAATTCATTTCAGAATTTTTAATGAAGTTATTTAATAATTATGTATAAAAAAAACAACAAAAAAGACACGTGCTAAAGTCTTCCTATGATGCCACCAGTAAAAGAAGTTCACCACCCGCTAGTTGACGGAGAATGTAAGTGAAGCAGTTGTATAACATGATAAAAAATAGATATTAGATGATAATATCAAAACAAAACTGTTGAAGCTTATAGTACAATTTGATTATGTTATATTTAATAGTAATGTTCAGTTTGCTGTATTTTTATAAAAACTCGTTGTTTTGCCCTTGCTTTGATATAGTTAGTAGTGTCTGACATAGGTCAAATGTATACAATCCGACCCCACCCAGACACTGATAGCTAGAGAGAGCATCGGTCGCGTCATCGAACTAATATATTAGTTTCCATTTGATTCATTTTGCATCTTCTCTAAAAATTCAATAAACTCCAAGAAACAGCGAAACGAATCTTTTGCACATTCATATTTCATTAAAACTAAATTCATTAATCATGAAAATTGCTTTAGATGAAATAGAGCTATTAAACTAGAAATTGTTGAAAATATTAAATAAAATAGATTTGAAATTAAAGAGAATATTGAATTTTACTTGTAAAATTCGAGTCATTTTTGTATTAATACAAAATCAAATTTATTTTAATTGTTGCAAAATTTTACTTGTATGATCTGATAGAAGTTTAATCCAAACTATAGAAATCACTGATCTATCCAGTTATATATCAAAGAAATAAAAAGTTTACGAAAATATTTCTCAGGAAACTAACAAATTTGTCATAAAGATAACGACTAAGTTTAACGAAAACAATAATTTTCAATACTCAAGTAAATATTAGTTTTCGAAAACTCAATACATATGAAAGCGAACTTGTTCAGAGCTATAGCTAGTCATAGTTATAGGGAAGATATAGAGTTATTGAATCTGCCACTAAGTTTTTGTTTTCAATAGACTCACATATCAAATAAAACTCAACAGTTAAATCACTTGCACTGTGTTCCAATGAAAGTCGATGATGTTCTTTGTTTTTTTCCCTATTCATTTGTTAGATATTTCTATATTGTTCTCACGTATAAAGAGTACAGTACGAAACGTGTTGGAGCAGCTGCTTTTTAGGCCCTTCCGCCAATTGCCAAATGTCAAAAATCAAAATTATTTAGATTTTTGCTTTTCCATCGCTAATATATTTTCAAAGTGTTGTCTGTCAAATACCATGTAAATAAACGCTCTTCGTTGTTGGTTAGTACTTTTATTAAACCTGACTCGTGAAATCTCTAGTAGAAAAACTCGTGCTTTGATTATTCTTCGTAGACAAAATTCTTCTAATGATAATAATTATTTCTCATTCAAAAGGTGCTGAGAGCATGGATGGTCATGGACATCTAACACCGCCAGTTTTAAATCACTTCAGTTGAAGAAAAATTGTTTTTCGTTTTACTCGAAATTAATTTGTACACAAAAAAATTGCAGAATCGCTCTGCTTCTCCAACATAGTATGCTGAAAAAATATTGCAGCATTAGTTTTTTTGCAGATTTTACCAAAAAAAGTCCTAGTAAAAGATATGTATCTTTGAAAGTACCCTCAGTATTTTGATTTGTGTATCGAAATGGAAGGAGACAAAAAAAAACCAAAAAGACATTCGACACCTCAAACAGTGCCAAGTATCTGCAAAAAAAAAGATTCCAACTCTATTGGGCGTATTCTGAGTGAGAAAGCGGAGGGAATTTTAGCTTTTGCGACCCAGATATTTACTAGGAGAGTGTTTGAAAATTTGAAGTCTATATCAACTTTTGCTCTACTCATTGACATCTATCTACCCGAAAAGCGGGAATCTCTTTAATCAAATATAAGTCAGTTAGACTGTACATTGTTGAACGATTATAATTATTCGTGGCTATCTAATTTGAGCACTCAGAATGAGTATATACCTTTCTGAAAAAACTATTGATACTAATGATGATAACCGATAATCTCTACTTTACCATTGCCTGATATCTCTTTTTGTGCTATACACTTGTCTGTAGTTATATTCGTTTCAAACTCTTGTTTTACGAAGTTATTATGCAAGCTTCTTCTATAAGGAATTTAGAAAAGGTTTTTCTTATCGATTAATATAACAACAAAACAAGTTAGCTTACATACAAAAAACAACCTCTCTCATTTTACCTCTATTGTTTTTGTTGTTCATTAACTGTCATCTCATACAATAGCTATGAATTTCTAATTATTTTTCTATGTTGTTACTGCGAAATCTCTCAAAACAAAAAATTCCTTGCGTACCTAAATTATTCAGCAAGATTTGTTTTCAATTTATTTTCGCTAACTTAACCACTAGAAAAAGTCTAAATAATGATTTGAGTAGAGAAAATTGTATCCAACAAGAATATACGGAAATAAGAATTATTATCAAGCTCTCAAAGTTAGAATCTGCAGAAAATCGAAATCCTAGTTTTTCAGTACCTAGAATGCGTAAATCTAATTTTATTGAGACTAGCTATAATCTTAGAGCAAACAATTCTCTTCAAAATTAGACGTCTCCGAGTTCTCTATGATATTTTTTGCCTGAAATACAGCAATTCGATTGAAGATCTAAAAATGGTTTTTCTATATGAAAGAGTAAGAAAATGACTTTAGATGCTTCCGTAATATTGCTATATCTCAAACAAAAAATCTCATAGAAAACTCAGAGACGTCTGATATTGTAGAAAATCATTTGCTCTATCATCATAAGTAGTCCAAACAAAATTAGATTTACTCGTTCTAGTTGTTGAAAAATTAGGATTTGAATTTTCTGTAGATTCTATCTTTAGGAGTTCGATAATAATTTTCTCTACTCGAATCATCATTTAGACTCTTTCTAGCAGTTAAGTTAGCGGATGTAGACTGAAAACAAACCTTCGTTGAGTAATTTTAGTACTAAGTGTATATGAAAGTGATGATTGAAGAACGATTTTAATTTGAATTCGATATTAACGAAAAAGAATTGAGTACAAAGTCTAACAAATAAATAATATAATGAATAGTTAATCATAGGATTGTTGTGTATCATGAAAAAACTATCATGAAGAAGAATGCACAACATAGTAGCAAACTATTGAGTTTTACTGATAAAAAATTTATATTTCTATACAAGTGAAAGGGTATCTATCTGTAAATTCACGATAATAGGAAGTAAGATTATTCAATTTTTGTAATGACTCAATATGTTTTTGAAAACGATGTAGGTTTCTCTTTTCTGTAAACATTCATTACCATTATACGTGTAACGTGTAGTCTCAATCATACGTGATTTATTTTCTTGCTCATTTAGTTTTTTCTACCAACCACATATTATTTATTGATAGTAGATTGTCATGCTTCAATGATGTCAGGGTTAGTAGTAAAGATACATAAAAAGTGCGCAAAACTTGTATTCGAATAGTAACAAACGTAATTTTTTTCCTACCATACTCAATCACGAGTAATGGCCGAACTGATTCTAGCTGCTGGTGCGGCGTATTTGGGTTGGAGAGCTGCTCGAAGAGTTCGTTGGGCATATAATAGTGCACTAGAAGAAATGTATGCTGAACAACAATATGATTATTATGATGAGCCATATGGTTATGGTAGTCAAGGATATAATCATTATCCTAGCCGTTCATCTGGTCGTCATCATCGTTCAGGCGGACATCATAGTGGACGTCGTAGTTACCGTCATTAACTGTCTGTTTTCTTTTAATTTATGAAATTTATTTAAGAAAAGAAAACAAACATATTACATTCGAAATATACCAAAACGTGTTTCGGGTATAGGTGCATTAAGAGATGCACTGAGACTAAGAGCTAAAACAAGGCGAGTATCTATTGGATCGATAACACCATCATCCCAAATACGTGCTGATGAATAATATGGTGAGCCTTCATGATCATATTTACGTAAAATAGGTTCACGTATAGATTGTTCTTCCTCAGCTGTGAACTAGAAGACCAAAAACAAATATATAGCATGTAAAAAAAAGCAATGCGACAAATAATTAATTAACCTGTTTGCCTTGTCTTTTACGTTGTTCAGCAGTGATTTGTGTAAGAACTTGAGCAGCTTGCTCACCACCCATTACTGATATTCTTGCATTAGGCCACATATACAAAAATCGTGGACTAAAAAAACAAAATAAAAAAAGAAATTTTTAAGCCTCTTCTCCAAAATCGACCTTGAGTCAAGTACATTCAAGTCGCATAAAATTTTCAGGATATGTTAGTGCTTTTGTGGAGAGGCTATGCTATAATGGTCAGTCCCGACGAACTATTTTAAGCTTCTGCTAGTCTCACTGAGATCTAACTGTGAATCTAATATGAACTCAAACGGCGGATGTCACTTCGAATAGTTCTCTTGTAAGGAAAACTATAGGCACTTTGTTAAGAGCTCCTTTCTATGTAAAATAATGTTTGGTCACGAAGTCGGTTTTTTTTTCAAAAATGAAGATTTAAGAGAAACGAAAATTGAAGTAAACTATAGGAAATCTTCAATAGTAATACATTTTGAAAGGTAGATTCTGCTAAATCTGAATTCGGAAAGAACACACAACTCTGGTAATAAATCATAACTTTTTACTCATCGGAAACATTTGCGAAGTAGTAAAAAGCAAACAAGCATTCTATTTCAAAATTCTCGTTCCATTCATTACTGACAGAAATGTTTTTATACATAAGAATAAAAAAGCTTAATTCAAAAAACGAATAGTACAGTTTCACATGCTCGTTCAAACAACGAAAAAAATAATTGTTTATATTAAAAATCCTTCGAGAATTTTGGAATACACAATTAGAAAAGCATAGCGAAAGAAAAATCGAAAAACATGTTGTGTTTTTTATGTCGTTTGTGAAAGATCAAACCTCACACCAGCATGTGAATCTCGATTTTTCGAACGAAAATTGATCTCTTGTTGTAAAAAGTGTTCTTGATTAATTTTTTTATTACCTGTATGATCTTCCAGCCATGCCATAATTGCCTGCTCCATAACTTCCTATAAGTAAACATATTTCAAAGAAAAAATAAATAATTATAATAAACAAACCTCCAATGATTACAGTAATTTTTGGCACTTGACTACAAGCTACAGCATTAACTAGTTTCGCTCCATTTTTAGCAATACCACCAGCTTCAGCTTCACGTCCAACCATAAAACCTAGTAATGAATTTCAATTGCTTGTTAATTTCTTTATTTATGTAGTTGAACTTTACCAGTTATATTTTGTAGAAATAGTAATGGAATTTTAAGTTGTGAACATAATTCAATGAAATGTGCACCTTTGAGAGCTGATTCAGAGAAAAGAACTCCATTGTTACCTAATATACCAACTGGATATCCATGAATATGTGCAAAACCTAAACAAATAAATAAATAGATCTTTATTTTTTGTTTTTGATAAACTTAATAAATAATTTTAGCTTTTTACCAGTAACAAGTGTTTCACCATATAATTTTTTAAATTCATCAAATTCACTTCCATCAACAATTCGAGCAATGACCTCAAATACAGAGAATAAATATAATACATAATAATTAATTCAAATTAACATACTTCTCGAACATCATATACTCGTTTGAGATTATCACCTACTATACCATATAATTCATCAGCTGGATAAAGCGGTTCAACTGACGGTTTCAAGACAACCTTAAAAATAATAATAATAATAAATATACACGAATAGAATTATAAATATCAACAAACTTGTTGAGGTTTTATATAATTAAGATTTGCAACAATGCGTCTTGTTAAATGCAAAGCATGAGCATCATCCATAGCATAATAATCTGTTACACCTGATTGCCTATTTTATTATTATATTGGAAAATATTTCAACAAAAAAGAATAATGATTACTAACCGGCAATGAAGATCACCACCACCAAGATCTTCCGCTGATACAACTTCACCTGTAGCTGCTTTAACTAATGGTGGACCAGCAAGAAATATAGTTCCTTGTTGACGAACAATTACCGATTGATCAGCCATAGCCGGAACTATATTAAAGAATGCATTTCACTTTGCGCGATAAAGAACGTGAGTGTGGCTGCGAGTATACTCATATTCTTGCTAACAGAATTTGAAGGACGCCTACGAACTAAACAATTATAGCAAATCGAAAACTAGCTTTTCTTGAAAGTGCTCATTGTACGAATATGACGAGTGTGAAAATTCAATTCAAAATACTCTTAGATTTTTATGATTGTTATCAATCAAGAATAAGTTAACTTTTCAAAAAATAAGAATAGTTTTTATTTCTTTTTATCTCAGAACGATTATTAGTACGGAAAAAGATTTAAAAAAAAAAACAAGGTTAGTTACAAAAAAAAATTGGATAACGTATATCTCTTTATTGCATTTTGTTGAAAATATACGAGAGAGGAATGATATTTTCCTTCTATCGATTTGGATAATCTACAGCGCGAAAGTCTTGGTACAAAATATTTACTCCTTTTTACACCAATAAGAGACAACTTGTTAGAATCAGAATTCTTCGCTGTTTCCGAACATATGTTCAGATTTTCTTCGTAGAGTAAGATTGAAAAACTATCAGTCAATGTTGTCAAAAAGTCTAAAGCTGTTTCTTTACAAAGCAAAATAACGGTTTTGACACAGATCTTAGTTTGTGTTTCGAACAAGCTTCCACCTAGCATTATTATAGAGTACTGCAGTCTGTACAAAATTATGTATTGCAATAAACAAAATTTATGCAGTTCCACCAAAGAAGTGGTTTATATAGAAATCAGCATTAATTAAACATTACTTTTAAAAGTCTGTCATGCAAAAGTAAATTGCATACTTTGTACCACAAAGCTAAACGATTTAAAACCATTCTGAACGAGCAAAAAATTTTGATTTTGTCTCTAACTAGGTTCTCTTAAAGTGGCCAAAATCTGAGTGAATATTTTATAGCCAGACTTTCTCGTCATTTCTTAGTTCTTAAAACCTGTTTTTTTTAAATATTATAACGTACCATAAGCACCACCAGCTGTGCAACTACCCATAACAACAGCAATCTACATTTAAAAAAAAATAACCAGACATTTTTTTCCAGTTGATTTTTAGTTTACTTACTTGTGGTATACCTAAGGCACTCATTGTTGCTTCATTATAAAAAGTACGGCCAAAATGTTCTTTATCAGGAAATACATCAGCTTGACGTGGTAAATTAGCACCACCACTATCAACTAAAAACTAAAATTAATATGAAATTTTTGTTCTTTTGTATATCTATCAATACTACCAAGATAAATACAAGGTAATCGATTTTCTCGTGCTATTTCCTGAGCACGTAATTGTTTTTTTACTGTCATTGGATAATATGTACCACCTTTAACGGTTGCATCATTAGCAATAATTACAGATTCTCGTCTAAAAAAAGGATTACTTATAATTTATATGATTTTATTTCAATTATTTACCCTTCAACTTGTCCAATACCAGTTATAATACCAGCAGCCGGAACTTCATCATCATCATATAATAAATAACCAGCTAATTGTGAAAATTCAAGAAATGGAGTACTGTTTGTTTGTTTTTAAGAAAATAAATTGAAAATTTTTATTTATACGAAAAAGAAAATAACAAACTTTGGATCTAGTAATTTATCAACACGATCTCTTACTAATAATTTATTTTTTGATGTATGCCGTTCACGAGCTTCTGTATTACCACCTAATGTAATACGTTTTATAATTGTTTTTAATTCTCCAACAGTTTTTGTCATTGCTTCATAATTACTCTAAATGAAAATAAGTTTAAAAAAAATATTTGAAACAAAATACTTCTCGACTAGCTCATTGGATTATGCTTTTATTAGTAATATGAACTAATTGATCATGTTTTTATAAGAAGCAATCCTTAGCTTATAATAACTTAAGCTATAAAATAAAATTTGTCTTTCCTATGATCAATCTATATCATTTCTATCGATTTAATTATGAACAATATTCGTTTTTTTTTGTTTCAAATTTAGGTTCCCATTCAATATGCAATAAGAACACAAACCTGTTGAAGATCGATTGAGACTACAACAGACCAACATAGTTTTCAAAAATAAATTACCAAAACGAGAATTCTACAATGAAAAGATTTGTTATTATCCAGAAAAAAAATTTCAAGAATGAATCGATAGATTTTTGCCTATAGCTCCTATTAAGAAATCTGCATACTAAGCTCATTTCATAACCTATATCCTTACTCTACCGTTATCTTAACGCAAGAAATGTTTATCTCACTCTCCTTTAATCCTAACCTAGATGGAACACTCCAAAAATGATAAGTACCAAAATAGTATCACATTAGAGATGTGTAGGGTAAACTGTTTTTGTATCCTCACTATGAAAAATTTTCTAACGCCATTACCCTATCTTGAAGAGTAGGGTAGGGTAACTTTGCACATCTATATTCCTATTCTCATGCAATGTATCATTCATCAAAATAAATCTGTTTCAATATTGTAAAATTGATTTGAAATGAGTTCCGATATTTTGATAAATCTGTGAACTTCTACAGTCGAGTTATAAACATTTTACTGATTTTTGTATTTGAAGCTTTGTCTATAAACAGGCCGATTGACTAGTAGAATAACCGAAAAGAATGTTCCTTTGTCAAGATATTAGATTTTCAAGTAAACTCGATTTGTGTGGCAAACGACTATGTTTTCGAAGTTCAATATCTCGACAAATGAATAATATTTTCAGCCGAAACTTTCAGCATATTCTACTGTTTATTCGATCTGTTTATGGAAGAAATTTTCGATCGGAAATTCAGTAAAACAATCATAACTCGGCTCCAAAGGTTAATAAACATGAGCCTTTTCTAGTCTTACTCACATCTCCTTCTGAACTCAACATGAGTTCAAACAGCGAGCTTCAGGTCTGATAGCTTCCTCGGAAGTTTTCAGATAAGAAATCTTTCGTTTTTCGATATTTTACTAATGTCCGTTTCAAAAACGAAAAGGCTAGTGGGAACTTTTAATAGAAACAAAATAGAGTGCTATGATTTTTACTCTTGGAAAGAAGAGATGAAAATGCAGTGAATCATATACTACAAGTTTTTTCGGTCTGGCCTTTATTAAAGTTTTCAATCGATCTTCTTGAAAAGTAACGTACTCTTTGAAGTGACTATAGTGAATTTTCAATCATGAAGTGTGCAACCGAATCGTCAATAAAAGATCTACAAAACTATGGAAGCCTCAAATTTTTAGTGTTCGTTATTCAAGACTCATAGATATTCTAGTCAACATTTTCGGCCGAGTTTTTAAACAATTTCTGTAAAAAAAATGACTAATTTTCTGACACTGAAATAAATTTAATTTGAAAAAAATAAAAACTTCAAAGAACATCGTAGGAAAACCTAGAATACATGATTCGATGCAATTTTATCTTATCTTTCTAATAGTGAAAACCACAGCATTCTATCTTGCTTCTATTAAAATTTATTCAAAAACTAGCTATCAGCCTTTCTTTTTGAAATAGACATTAGTTGTAGAAAACTAATTTGCATGTCTATTCCCATGATATTTTGACATTTTTAAAATAATAATTTAATTGCTACGAGATCTATTTCTTCTTTTTTTCATGACATCTCGATTCTTTCTGTTCTTTCTATATTCATTTCTGTAAAGAACAAAGATATATTTAAGTAAGCATACAATAGAAATATTGAGCATGACAAATAAATTCTTTTGTTAATTAAAAGTTGGTTATTAAGTCTTTCACTGCGAATGATTCATATATCAGTCACAGTATTTTCTGGTATATTGAAACTCACAGATTCATATGCGATATTATTTTTCGTGAAAGAATTTATCAGATACTATTTTCATATAATGCAAGTTATAAATTCTTTTATTTTGATCATGATTAATGTATAATAAATATAATATAACTGACTCCTACGTGAAAGTTTGCTTTATTAGAAATCACAGGAATGGAAAAAAAGGAAGATCATCTTTATAAAACCCTTTGAGGCTCACGGCACGACACCTCCGAACATTTATTCAAGGTTAGTCAGCTGAAGTCAAATATGAAGAAACAAAGAGAAGAAAATGTCATGTCTGCAATAATACAAAAATAGGTTCAAAGAAAAAAGAACTAAGATAAGATATGAATGTGCCTAATGTAACGTTGGTTTGTGTGTTGTGCCTTGTTTTGAACTATAGCAAACTTTGAAAAACTTCTAAACACGTTTATTTATAATAAATTTTTCATAAAACCGGAAATATAGATTAATTTATGATCACGAATAGAGCAAAAAAGAAATTTTAATTTTCTTTCGTAAAACCTCGTAGTCAAAGTGTTAACAAAGATCCAATACATATTTCTTTTTCACAAAAATACCTTATAAATATCTGATTGTGGATCACATGTAGTTGGTAATTGATTATAATTCTTTACTGCAGATGATAAAGAACGATAATGTTGTAATCGACCTAACGAAGTCCGTTTTACAATTGATAATAAATGTTTCATTTTTTTTCTTTATTCTTTATATTTTTTCAATATGTCTAGAACGATTGATAAGATTTTTTTTATAAAAAGAAAAAAAATATCGTGTCGTTTTTAATTATCTTGTTACTGTTGATGTTTTTTTTGTGTGTGTATGTTTATTTGATATGAACAAAACAAAATCAACAATAAAAAGAAGAAAAGACGAAATAATATATTTTGATGTTAAAATCCCAATGTCATTTCTTCATTGTTGAAATAATTGTTTGTTGTTTTTTTTCTTCGTGTGCGTGTATATGTTTATGTATCGGCAACTGTTACTTCAACATCTACACCAGGTTCAATACTAATTGATGTAATTTGTTTAACAATTTCCGATTTTGAATGTAAATCGACAACACGTTTATGTATACGCATTTGAAAACGATCCCATGTTTTTGAACCTTCACCACATGGTGTTTTACGTGTTGTTATACGTAAAACTTTAGTTGGCATACGAACTGGTCCTTTAACACGGATTTCTTCATCTTTAGCCTTTTGTATTAAATCAGCACAAACTTTTTCAAGCGATTTAACATTTCGCGATGTTAATGTTATACGAATTTTATATTCTTGTTGGTCACCAGCACCAGCTTGAGCCGGAATTTTACCGCTAGTTGGATCTTTTGTAGCCATGTTTCGAGAAGTTCAATGTGAAAATTTTATTCACGTGAAATCGACAAAGATCTAAAAATTAAAAAAAGTTTACTTTAGTTGCTGTATTTTTCTTTTTTGTTTTTTCTTTAAAACTATCGAATATGACAAAATAAACAAGACAAATCAATGAAGAAATTAGAGCTTTTCAATAACCAATCAAATTTAAGAAGAATATTTTTGCATATGGAATAAAAGGAGTTTTATAATGAGAAGATTTTTTTGTCAAAATTTGTAAAAATTTTTATTTTAAATTTCACTTTAAAAAGAAATATTGATGATTACATAAATTTTATTGATTCGAATTCACAGCGACATCTATTCAATTCGAATGGATATTCTTCTTGGATATGAATCATCTCTCAGCGCGGTCAAGGCTTATCATTGAAAAAAAACTATAACAAATATCATTAAATTAAATTTTTCAATTTTCTATTATTACCGATTTTTAAAAACGGTGCGCTCCGGGAGATCGCTTATAAATTTTTAAGGCAAGGTGATAGAGATCTGCGGTTTTTACTGTTGAATAGAGGACAGCAGGGCAGATAAGCCTATGAAAACGTTTGAATTTTAAATAAGAATTACCATGATGAGTTTTTCATTGCAAAATCTACTAGATTGTCGTTCCCGAACGGTACAATGGATTTTAAATTCCAAGTAGTGCATTTCATAGTGAGGGTCGAGATCTACAATTCTAGATGTGGCTCAAATCTGTATCTATTAAGGTTCGGAAGTAATAAGCATTCTTGTGAAAAGTACAGACTTCCGTCCGAACGACTACTAAGATTATACATGCGCGTCATATATAGGTTATCGAATGCGCTGAGCATCATGGTGATGTTTATTCGCAGTTTGGGAGTTACTTTTGATTTGAAATCAGATGAATCAGATTCAAAAGACGTTATACCGTAGCACCACACTGCAAATTCATCACGATAAATTGAAAGATGGCTTTTCTAAACATTTCTTCCGAGCCGTAAGTCATTTTTATCCTTAACTGACGTTAATTTCATGTCATCGGCGTTTAGCCGCTCAATTGGTTAAGACAGAGGGCTTGAACATCAGCTTTTCATTGTTGTGGTGTTGAGGCGGTTATGTATTTCTATTTATATATAGGAAGACGAAAGAACGTCTGCATTTTTTTTCTTTTCTCCTCGAGTGTCCATGTCTCTCCGTTTATTCAACTGTTATTGCCATTCTTCGTATTATATTATAACAACTTCGTTTATCATGCATGCGGACCTCGAATTCAGCAAGGAGAACCAATTTTAATCTTCAAAGTAATAACATTTTGTGAACGAGAGAAGACTGGTCCTATAATTCCTTTGAATAACGTCATTGAACGAATCTCGAACATGTTATCCATCTCTGAAAGATCAGTGAATAATTTGAAAAAAGAAATGAATGAATTGAAACAGCAGGAACAGAACGTAACAGGAAGAAAATGAAAATGAACATCATCGAACTCCACATTAAAGCGTCAACAAACGTCTCCATCTCCACCTCAACCAAAGCAATTACATCGGCGTCGACACCAGACTGGCTCTTCATCTGTTGCTACAGTAGCACGAGTGTCTGTTTCTGAACCATCGTCTCCAAAAAAAGAAAGGCGAGCAACAGTTTTTGTATTTGAGTGAACAGAAATGATAGTTGCGGTTTTGTTCGTCAGATCACTCTGGCCTTCCAAAACTCATTCTGTCTGAATATGCACAGGATATGATTAGATACCATTTTCACTTACTCTTGGAAGAAAAAATGTATTCGATAACGGCAAGACTGCTTAGTCATCTTTATCAAGGTTTCGATGATTTCTTCATTCATTCTACTTCCAGATTATGGTTTGCGATGAAAAAGTGAGTGCCAGATTATTTCTGAGACTGTCAAATATTAAAAAGGTTTTTTTTAATCTACTTCGGATTCACCTGTCAACGAACAAGTAAAGTTAAAGTTTCACTCGATTCCATCTCATTCATCGCTGCTCAAGCTCGTTATTTTGAAACTTTGAATGAATTGAGAAGGGCTCATGCTCATATTTATTACCATGATAAAACATGAATGAATTTAGGTAATGTTAAAAGATCTATTTGGGTACTGGAAAGAGAAGGAAGAATACGTCATGTTGACGCCAAAGGTGAGTTAAGTAAATCTTCCCAAATAGTTTTTCTCATTAATACTTCTTCTCTTTGCGTTAGAAAAACGATTGGCAGTGTCTGCCTTAATTAGTCCAGAGAGGTACCATCTTGAATCCGTCGAGATTTTTGCTTCTTCGAAAGATCACAACATGAATAGTGAACGATTTACCAAATGAATAGCAGATACATCTATAACATTACGTATACAACATGGTGAGTGACGAAAACTCAGCTAACTTCAGCTTTGCTTGATTTTTTTGTCTGTTTCTGGAGAAGATAAAGACAGAATTACTTTGGTGCTAGACAATGGACCATGGCACAATCTTCTGACGTCTGAATTTGTTGTGCCAAAGAGATCGTGGTGTAAAAACGATATACAGAAGTGGTTAGAAGATCATAATCTTAAGTTTAATGATGATGCTGTGAAAGCTGAATTATTGAAGCTGGCCTTGAAGAATGCAACTCCGAAAGAATTTAAAGTAAGATTTCCAAATTTTGACTCACTATGCACGTAAAACATTTTCCCTCTTTCTGTTTTAGACAAATGTTGCTGCTGCTCAGTTTAGTATTGAAATTGTATGTCTTCCGTACCGTCATTCAACTTTAAATCCAATTGAATTATTTTGGAATACTCTCAAACAATACGTACAAGATAATAAAACAACATATCAATCTAATGATGTCTACAATTTGATTACAGAATACATGGCATCAGTGGATAAAAAGCTGGCTACCAGTTTTTTTGCTTACGTAAAGAAAGTTGAAGGAACATTTATAGATGGTGACTCGTTTGTTGAAAAAGAAATTGAACCCGATTTAGTGGAAGAAAGTACCTATGCTGAGGATGATGATGACGATGAATAATTGCTTTTTCTCTTTGTACTTGTACTGTTTTTGAATGATGATACTTTGTAATACACAAAAAAGTCATTGCACTACGTCATATTTTACCAGAAAGAACTGGTGTGCTGGAAAAATGTCGAAAAAAGAAAAAACGAAGAGAAAACATCGAAAGGAAAAATGTCGAAAGGAAAAATATCGAAAGGAAAAATGTCGAAACGTGCATATTAAAGCGGAAAAAATGTCGAAACTGAAAAATAAAAAAATAATGATGCCTCCAGTAAATGGCGATTCTAATCCCATTTAGCTCATTGTTTTTTTTTATAATTTTACTAGTGTAGAATTTTAGCCAGTATTGATATGGATGACTAACTATTAATACAAGTAAAATGAAAGAGTTAAACAAAGAATTATTATATAACTAAAATTGTACTGTCATGGCTGAAGCTTGTGTAACTTTAGCTGGTGAAATTTAAGCAAAATCTCCTGCTATTTCATTTATAAATTCAAATAAAGGAAAATCTCTACTAGTTTTTTGATGATTATACTTTTAAATTGAATAAAGCAACAACAACTACTAAATATTGGATATGCACTATTAATGTTTGTGCAGCTAAAGTGCATACTGATTCAAATAATCGATTGATGAAAACTATTAGCAATGATAATCATCTTCGAGAAAAAGAAAAACTTGAGATTCGTAAAGTTCGTGAAAAATAACATTTTAATTTTTTATTTATTTTATTTATTTTTATATTTTTCTCACTGTTAAGATTTCAACTTAATTTTATGGAAAAAAGCATGCACTATATTATTTACAATTCTCTAAAATATTAACCGACAATGTTTCATGTCAATATTATTTTTTCGACATTTTTCCTTTCGATATTTTTTTCTTTCGACATTTTTCTTTTCGACATTTTTCCTTTCAATATTTTTCCTCTTCCTTCTTTCGACATTTCTCCTTTCGACATTTTTCCTTTCGACATTTTTCCTTTCAATATTTTTCCTCTTCCTTCTTTCGACATTTCTCCTTTCGACATTTTTCCTTTCGACATTTTTCCTTTCGACATTATGACGGCCAACCAAAGAACTTTGTACATAGAGCAGAAAGCAAAATTCTGATATTATTAGAAGGATGCAAAACAGGCTGTCAAGCCATCCCTGAGAAGTAAGAAACAAAGTAGAAATTGAATTTTGAAACCCAATGACCTTTAACCTATGACTAAAATTCATTTATGAAATGTTTGTTTTTCTAAGGTTGTTTTAGAAGAATTCCGCTAGAAAACGTTTTCTAAACTGCGAATAAACATCATCATGACACTCAGCACATACGATACCCAATATATCATGCGCTTTTATAATTTTAGTAGCTCTTCGGACAAAAGTCGATACGTTTCAGAAGAATGCTCATAACCTCCGAAACTTCATAGACACAGGCCTGAGCTACATTCAGAATTGTAGATCTATATCCACACTATCGAATGCACTACTTAGAATTTAAAATCCATTGTATCGTCCAGGAAAGACAATCTAGTAGCTTTTACATCGACAAACTCACCATGGTAATTCTTATCTAGAATTGAAATCTTTTCATAGGCTTACGTGTCCTGCTGTCCTCTCTTCAACAGTACAAAACCGCAGATCCCTATCACATTGCCATAAATAGTTATAAGCAATATTCCAGAGCGCACCATCCTCTAAAACCGGCAATAGTTACTCGGTAACGTAACGGTAACTTTTCTCCCTGCCTGCTCCGTTCATATTTTATCCAAATAGAAGGACACCCTAGACTAGAACAATCCTAAGAGGATTCAGGCTTAGAGTCGTTGTGATCTGCAGTATTGAATTCACTTAGCGGTGTCGCACTAGCATTAGCATTAGCATTAAGCAATGTTAATATTAATGCTTTTGTATTAGTATTACGTAGTAAGCCTAATGTTTAAGAGAGCTCTCATGAGGCCATCGAGGACCATGTCAGAAATCGAAGCACTCGATAAAATTTAGATTTGTGATTTGATGTTCTCATTTTATTCAACATTAACTGAAACCTCTAAATCCAAATTTTTAGCACATTTGGTTGAGCTGGCGACAAGTAAGCTCAATTTTACTGTCGAGCGCTCATGGGGATATTTGAACTCTCTAAAAAAAAACAGTATTCTCGGAAACCAAGGGAGAAAGGTTTCCGAGTGTTCGGAAACCCATTTCTTGCCCTCGAGAACCCTTCTATCGGTTTCCGAAAGCTCGGAAACCCATTTTTTACCCTCGGAAACCCTTAAAACGTTTCCGATAGTAACAAACTCGTAAACCGAAAAAGGTTTCCGAAGTTCGGAAACGCATGAAAGGGTATCCGAGGCTCGGAAACTCTTTTCGGTTTACGAATTTGTTACTATCGGNACCCCCCCCCACACCCAAACCCCCCCACACCCACCCCCACACCCACCCCCACACCCACCCACACCCACACCCCCACCCACACCCACACCCATCCACACCCACACCCACACCCACACACCCACACCCTTTTACTCATACGTTCACACTTCCACCCTCAGGATAGTGTTTAATATCGCCTAATTGAACTGGCATCAACGTAGGGAACACCCAACCATAATGATGATGATTGTAGCATAACGGTCTTGACGCTTCCACATATTCCACATATCGACTATCATTATAAATTGATGACATGGCTTCAAATAAGACACCAGGCCATCCTGCCGGTGTTCCCACAGTGACATTTGGATACCATGGCCATTCTCTTCCATGGAGATTATAATAAAATAAGTAGTCGAGTGCATGCTTAATCGAAGCATTGCCTTTCGAGTAATTAGTAAAGAGATTTTCGCCTGTTGCTTGATAGACAACCCAGCATGCGGCCGTCATTGGTGCCAGTGAAAAGTATGTATACCAAATCCCGTGAGCTTCTCTCACCGTTTCCTGAGGCATATGACCATCATCGGCAATTTTAAGAAAGAGATCACTCTTGATCAAATCGATACTGGTAGTCATCTCTTGTGCATTGTCCAACAAGTACGCCGTCAAAACTGATCCAAATCTACCCCAATCTGCCCAGTTATTTGCGCGTGTTCGAATTTCTGTTGCTGCTTTCAGATAGACATTTTGTACCCAATTGAAGTACTCTTGCTTATTCGTATAGTTCCATCCGTTGTAGTTGGAGAGTAATTCGCCAGCAAGAATCATCGCTGTCCCTGCATAAGTCATAACTAAGGGACCATCCGAATCAGAATATTCCTTGTTCACTTCAGCCCATGCAGTCAAGAAGCGCAGCGATTGATCAGCATATTTAGATTGACCACCACTAAGCTGATAGGCCAATGCACTAGCATACGCATCAAATCCATCTGATTGAAGGTCGAATGATCTGTTTACATGTAGGGCAGGATTGACGTAATAGCCAGGAATAGAAAAATTAACTACAGCATGAGTAGTATGATTCGATGCATTATATGTATAATTTAACAATTGAAGATAGGCATTGTAGTAAGGTTGCTGCCTATCTGATATTTTTGATCTTACCAATTCAATTTGTTGCCTTGGATGCATCCCACCAGGGTGTTTATACGCTAGAATATAGCAATAGATCAAATTTGATTATCATCTATCTGTCTTCTATCATTTGTTTTATGTTCAAAATTAAATTTGTTTTCATAGAAATCGAGAAAAAAATCAAAGCGTAATAATTACTTGTATACCCAATGTTGCTGATTCCAAGAATAACATTTGGCAAATTCTGTAGTAGGCCTAAGATTACTACAAGAATCAAGTTCATGACTGAGAATATGTCGTATCACCAAGTTAGTGACTGTCCTATGTTGGCAGAGTAATCCTTCTATAGAGCAACCTTTTTGCAATATTAGCACTTCTCTCATCTCACCGTTTATATCATAGATATGATATCACACTAAGCAAACACAAGTATACAACACTTTAGCCATCTAAGATCATGTTTCGTGTTCTTTTAAAACAGAGACAAATTTGCGTGTAATTATGCAGCTAGATATATGTCATCAAGATATCATTATGTTTTCTTCGTAACGACGGTATAAAAATTAGCACATCCATAACCAAAGAGTTTTTTCGACACTTTCTAATTTATTTTATTCAATTATAGTATATGGCTTCATTATCTTATCTTGAAACATATCGTGCTCGACAAGAATTCAAAATAGTTGAATCTATTCGTTATAAATTGAAACATGTGAAAGAGGAATCTAGGACACTTTCCTGCAGAACATGTTCGCTGAACAGATGCCCGTCGAACACTTGCCCGTATGATGCTTGCTTGCATCTTCACTCTCAACATTGACTATTGCGGGCAAGCGTCATACGGCCGATTTTTCGGCCGGCATCTGTTCGGTGTGGACGTGGGTGTGTTGCTGTGGGCTCATTCTCAAAAGAGATACAATTTTTTTTTGTATACAATTAGCACTAAATCATTTGAAAAACGAATTTGTTGAATCATTTACTGGTCTAACTATTGATTGTTGTCATAACTATTTAATCCTATCACAGCTATCTAAAGATGTTTTAGCTATTTGAACTTGTCATAGCTATTTAATGACTTGCATAGCTATTTAATCATTCACTTGACTATTTAATCCTGCCATAGCTATCTAAAGATCTTGTAGCTATTTAAAGTTGCTATAGCTATTTAATGATTTGCGCAGCTAATCAATTATTCATCTGACTATTTAACCCTATCATAGCTATCTGAAGATTTTGTAGCTATTTAAAATTGCTATAGCTATTTAATAGTTTACATAGCAATTTACTCATTCACTTGACTATTTAATCGTGCCATAGCTATCTAAATATCTTGTGGCTATTTAAATTTGCTATAGCTATTTAATGATTTGCATAGCTATTTAATGATTTGCATAGCTATTTAATGATTTGCATAGCTATTTAATCTTTCACTTGACTATTTAATCCTGCCATAGCTATCTAAATATCTTGTAGCTATTTAAAGTTGCTATAGCTATTTAATGATTTACATAGCTATTTATTGATTCATTTGGCTATTTAATCTTAACATAGCTATCTAAAGATCTTGTAGATATTTAAAGCGGCTATAGCTATTTCACGATTTGCATAGCAATTTAATCATTCAGTTGCCTATTTAATCCCATCATTACTATCTAAATACCTTGCAGCGATTTAAAATAGCGATAGAAAAGAACAAAAAACTAAATGAGAGTCTGCAATTTCGAATAATAAAAAATACTGACAACTTTATGTTTATTCTTATAAGCATCAAAAAGAATACTACGTTATCATCACTAGTAGATATTGCTCAAATATTCATCCTACTTTGCTGATTCTTGAGAACAGAGTTTGATTGATATGAGAATGAATTCGTCTCTTTTTATTTCATCTTTCGGCCTCGCCAAGCGTACCGCGATGACATTTTATCCATAGTTTTATTAACTTTTCTCAGCAATAAGGCTGTCTAGAAGGCTCGTCCTTTCGGTGGAAGATGCGCCTGTCTTCTCCAAAACCTCTGAAAATATTAACTTATTTGAACCAGCCGTCTGAAAATTATAAAAAAATATGTGACGCAATACGATGATGAACACGGGACAAAAAGTTGAGGATGACGTGATTGTTCTTTATTTTGCTACGAATGTGCACTACATTAGGATAAACCTCCCATAGACGTTTTGTAGCAGACAGTTTGAGATACCCAACGGAAAAAAGAATTCTTCAAACAGATCTCTTATTTTGAAGAGAGGTCGGTTTAACTAACGTAACGCGATGACGATGATTTACGTGAGCAAGTTTTTTTCTATGTTACGTTTGCTATATGTATAATTGTGTGAAGAAGAGGTACTATTTTCATTTCCATGATTCAACTATACAGATGTAAAATATGTTTCCTTACACCTTATCTGATACGCTACAAGATGTCCAGAATGCATTTAAAAATGATGGCTTTGAATTCTTGACCATTGAGGTCATACGCTACCCATTTTGATCCGTTTTTATCATCTAATATCTTTTACTTTAAAAAAAGAATAAACTACGAGCAGGAATTTGTTTGGTTGATATGAGAATGAATTCGTTTTTTTATGTAATCTTTCTAGTTTGGTTGATATCAGGATGAATTCTTTTTTTATTTCATCTTTTTATCATCTAATATCTTTCACTTTAAAAAAATAATAAACCACGAGTAGGAGTTTGTCTGGTTGAGTGAGGATGAATTCCTTTTTTTATATAATCTTTCTATCATTTAAGATCTTTTACTTTAAGAAAATAAAATAAACCGCGAGCAGGAGTTTGTTTGGTTGAGTGAAAATGAATTCGTTTTTTTTATTTTATCTTTTTATCATCTAATATCTTTTATTTAGAAAAAAAACAAAATAAACCAAGAGCAGGGATTTGCTTAGTCGATGTGAGGATGAATTCAAAAAAACCAGAAGACAAAAGAATGAGCCACGCAACTATTTAAATAATTCAGTGTCACTGCTGTTTTGTTTAAATTGCTAGCTAACTACGAAAAAACTAGTATCAAAGCTTTTAAATAGCCAAAGTTCTCTTTAAATAGCGAAATGTTTAATTAAAAAGTATCTCTTTTGAGAAGCTACGGTAGCTGTGGGCATGGGGTTGAGTATGGTTGTCGAGTGTGAATGCGGGTGTCCTCTCTTCGTAACATATGTGCCACCCACACCCTCAAGATTAAGATGTCTTAAAACCACCTGGGGAGATCCTTGAACAAGATCGAAACCGGTCGTGGTATGCTCTTCTAAATTATACCATTAATTGTCATAAAAAAGTTCGAGCATTTGCATTTAGTGTGAATGTGAGGTATGATTAAAATTATTAGTTTAGATCATGATTTGGGTCTTCTAGTTCGATAAATCGCACTAGATCTATTCAAACTTCAATCTTAGCCACGTTCAGCTGAAACCCCATCTAGAGGAGCTTCGCACGAAAAATATCCTTAACTGCACCAGTTCTGAGTTTTTATGTTCCATTAAATTCAATGACTCAATAAAGAAAATATTTACTCTGTTTTCAAAAACGAAGAGATATTGCTAGACTTTGAATAGACGAGATTTATCTGTATTTTACAAAGAATGCTTTTAATATCTTCTTTGCTAGATCAAATTGATTGAGTGTATTTCAGATTTATAAAAGTCATATCTTCAGTCAAAAATTACTAAAATAACATGTTAATGAATGTGAACAATATTTATGTATGAATACGAAAAATACATGAGATTTGATTCAATTTATAGAATAACTTATGTAAATTGTAGCGAATTTTCTTTTTAATCAATAGATAATTATAATTGCATAGGAATTATTGATCCTTATTTATTACGATCATTATAAACCTTTTTACCACGAAACTTTGAAAACAGATGTTAAAAACGTAGAAAAAACATATATTATGACATACAAAAAGAGAAATTGAATGAAAAAAGATAAAATACATGTCTTTTAAAACATATTTAACTTGTACACCAGTAAATTTAACATCAATAACATTGAGCATCATTAATTATGAACATGATAAACGATGGTATCCTGTAAGTTCATTGTGAAATGAAACTGATATTGAAAATTAATTATAGCAGAACAAAAATATCGTAAACTAATATTAATACCAGTATCAACATGTAGGTGAAGTTAGCACCATATTCGAGTAAATCCTTCCCAAATTCGTTCAGGAAAGTGTTCCAAGTAGAACTCAACGAGCTCTATCTAATGTTAACTTTGGATTTTCCATAGCACAAACCAATCGCGAAAAAAATCCAAAATACTGCTCTTTTTCTATAGGAAAAACTAAACTTACTTACTAAATGTTAGGCTCTCGTATGGGAAAAGAGTGACTTCTGCCCCGGACTATAGCTCAAGGCCGAAAACTATGTTGATAGACCCCAGGTCTGCTCTGGAAACGAGAACACAAACGTAAAAGGAATAGTAAAGACTTACCTAATCTTGACAGGATCAATAAGAATAATATAAGGGGATGTTTATAGTTTTATTAAAGGTGAAACAAGAATGATAATATAATGATATAGGGGATGAAAGACACAGAGGTGTGAATAGAACAAGATCAATAACAAGGTCAATAACAAGAGAGACAGAATAGGGAAAGAATCACTGGACGAAAAATCACAGAGAGAGCAGATAATCACTGGATAGTCCACAGAAGATATATATATATGTACATATAGGGAGGAAAGGAAATACTAATAATATATAACTGAACGTTAGCGGTAATAGAGAGACCTCCATGGACGCTAACACTAAAACCTGTCCATATTCGCCCAGGAGCGTGTTTCAAGTGTTCCAGTCGGATTCTAAGTGCAACTCGACGAGCTCTATCTAATGGTGTCCTTGGATTTGGGTGTGGGTGTGGGTGTGATGTGTGGGTGTAGGTGTGGGTGTGGGTGTGGATGTGGGTGTGGGTAGGGGTAGGGGTGGGAAGTTCCCGTTACCGTTCCCGGGTAACGGGAACGGGGCCGTTACCGTTACCTGGGTAACTGGTAACGGGACGGTCACCAGTAACTTTTTCCTGGTAACTTCTCCAAAAA